AAAGCAAGCAGCCAGGGCAAGGTCACCCATGGTCAGCGCCCTGGGGTCCCAGGGCAGCCCCCGCCTGGGGCCCTGGGACTCTGTCTGGAAGGCTGTTCCACCACAGGCCCGCAGGCCCCGCACCTGGGGCACCTGCACACTGTCGCTTCCTCAGTGGTGAGAAGGCTGCCTCACCACCCTCTCTGCCCCTCATCCCGCTCAGTTACCTCCACAGAGGAAATCACCGCTCCACTCGTTCCATATTTGTTTATCACCTGTCTCTTGACACTGGAAAAAGGGACCCTATCCTCAGAGCCTAGAACCGAGCTCAGCAGCTGGCAGGGGCTGAGCAGACACCCCGCAAGCACCTGTCTTTCCCTGGGGTCCCCAGACGCACCACCGCACCGGGCCTGACCCACCAGCAGCTGAGGGGGCCTGCTGGGCTCTGAGGGAAGGCGCATCCAGGTCACCACTGCTCAGCACGGAGGTAGGTCCCGGCTGGGTGTGGGGGTGAAGGAGGAATGATGCCCCATTCTGGTGCCCTTCTAAGAGCAGCCGCGCTGGGGCAGTGTGCAGAGCCCAAAGCCACAGAGTTGTCTGCGAAGACTCGGTTTTGGATCTGGGGGAAGGAGGGTGCACAGCTGCTCCCTCCTCAGCAGGTAGGATGCACTGGATGGCTCACCAGTAATTGGGCTGTGGGCAAAACTCCCCCGGAGGCTGTGGGAGGCGGGATGGGAGGCCTGCTCCCCACCGAGGTGCTGGAGCATGTTCCCCCCACCCCAGCATCTGAGGCAGAGCAAAGGGGGAGGGCTCCCAGCGGCCTTGGGGCACGTGGCCAGGGGCCTGGGGTGAGTGTGGTCTTTCTCCTGGCCAGGACTGGGCACGTTCTGGTGGAAGCCCTCTGTGCATTCCCAGCTAGCAGGGTGAGGAAAAATCACAGATGCCACCTCCCTGGAGAGAGGCCTCAGAAGTGGAGGTTGAGCAAGGCCTTTCTGGGGACACAGGTGGCCACAGCACCTTGGGTTGGGCCTTGGGCACAGGAGGGACTTAGGCCATCTAGGCTGCGCCAGCCCAGGGCCAGGCCAGGGAGCCAGCAGCCTCCACAAGCAGATGGCCAGGTGTCCCCTGTGGGGTTTGGGACCCACAGATGCTTCCAGGAGGGCACAGGGAGCAGGGACGCTGCCACAGGACAGACTAGGAGTAGGACCGGAGGCCTGGCCCGCTTGTGGGCCCTGGGCCCCCAAGGCCTGGCATGGCTGCGGAGAGGGAAAGGGTGTGAAGGGGTCTATGCAGCTGGGAGCCAGGGCATGGAGGCGGGGGGCCAAGAGGGGCAGCACTGGGGCTGCCTCAGCGAGACCGGGCCAGGCCCTGCCCCTGTTCCAGCCAGAGGTAAAGGTGCTTCCTACATGGCAGGGCGTGATGTGGCGTCCGGCCCCCCGTCAGGACCGTGGCCTGTGCCCGGCGCCCCACTGCCTCCCGGTGGCTTCAGGACCCTGGAGGCCAGGCGGTGTGGAATCACTGTGGTGTTTATTGGCTGTGATTCCACTCGTTGAGAACACACGCGACGCCCCCGACATGCAGGAGGAGGCGCGGACGCACGGACAGACGGAGGGACAACACCCACGTCTACGCTAAGCTCGGCTGCTCCAGGCGCCCCATGCGGGGGAACGGGACGTGGGGTTTCTATGAGACGAGGCCCGTCAGCTAAGGGCTGGCTTTCTGCGTGTGAAAACAGGCATTAAAAAAAGACACTGGTGGGGGGGAGTCAGGGCACCCCGCGAGGCGCAGGAGAGGCGGGAGCGCCGAGTCGCCGCCGCGCCTTCCGATGCAGGGCCTCGCAGTTCGGTTCGTACGGCGGTCTAATTATTATGGCTTCTCTGGGGAGCGATGGAGGGCCACGCCCCGGCCGCGACACGTGGACGATGAAGTTGTCGTCAAGGCCAGAAAGGGCCCGGACCGATGCGACGGGCTTTCTGCCTAGATAAAACTCAAATACAGAAGACCTCATTTACCTGAGATTCAACATATTATGATGCGAATTAAACCAGGATGGAGGAACAAAAGGGTTGGGGAGCCCGGCTCAGCCTGCCTCCGCTGTTCCAGTCAAATCCCACATCCACGCGCAGGAGCACCCGGCAGCCCCGCTGGAGGGGCCGCACCCCGCCGGCGCGACAGGCGTTGGAGGGCAGGTGCAGGCCGTCCTCTGCGCGCATCTCCAGACGCGCCGTGCTCGGCACCTGGGTCTCTGCGTGCCCTCCCAGCTCCCGTTGCAGGTGGGTGTTCAGGGCTGAGGGCAGAGAGCCCCCAGAGCAGCCTCGGAGGAGACAAGAGGTGCCAACCAGGGAGAGGGGCGGGCAGGGCTGGGTCCACGGACGCAGAGGGGCATGAGCTACAGGGGTGTGCGAGGGCTCTCTGTGCCACACTCGGGGTGCATCTGAGAATCTCCCCTAAACCTATCTTGTTTTCCTTAGTTGAGAAGAGAACAGGGCCCTGGCATTCCTAAGAAGCCAGCCTTCCCCAGGCGTGAGCCCAGAAGGACGGAGCAGGACACAGAGAGACAGGTGGACGGTGAGTGTGAGGGTCAGGTGGAGGGGGGCAGCCAGGGGCAGGCAGACGCCAAGATCCAGCGGCCCACGCCTCGGGCCTGAGGGGATCCAGGCTCATCTGGAGGCGGGGGCTTCCCACCTCTGCCCCAGGCACCAGCTGCTTGCTGCACCCCCCACACAGCCTGCAGACCACCTTCCCCCCACCATGGCTGTGCTCCTGAGTTTGGGCCTGGACAAGCGCCTGCCCACGGAGGGAGGTCGCACCGAGGTGTGGTGTGGTGGAGAGGCCGGCCCTTGTGGGGGCCTGGCCCTGGCGCAGCGGATGGGTCGTGAAGGGTGGGGGCGGTAGAGGCATCCCAGGCTTTGAGGTGGGCGGTGGGGAGGGTCAACCCGCCAGCAGCCAGGAGAGCGGGTGGGCTGGTCTCTCGGGCCCCCAGCACGCACCACGTCGGCCTGGGTGAGGGGTCGGGCGCCCTTCCCCGTGGCGGAGGCGATGGAAGCACGGGGAGGGTGAACTATGGCTTATACCGGCGTGGGGGGGCTGCACTCTGCTCCCTGCATCCCTTCGGTGGCCTCCGGGAGGGCGTGTACACGGGGCAGGAAAGGGGCGGCGGGACAGGGGCGGCGGGCTGGGCGCTGGGCGGCGCCCGGGGCGTCACTTCTTGAACATGTCCTGCAGCGGCCCCGGCAGGTACTTGAGGACCGTGTCCAGTATGCTCCCGTCCTCCTCCTCCGGCTCGTCCCCGCAGCCCGGAGGGATGGCCTTCTTGGGTCGCGTCAGGCTGCCCTCCGAGTCGGCCTCCATGGCGGCCTGGGCCTCAGCCTCGCGCTCCTCTCTCTTCTTGATGCCGTACTGCGGGGGGTGGGGGGGGTCAGCGCACCGGGGCCCCCCGCGCTCCGCCGGGCCGGGTGGGGTCCGGCCCTCCCTGCACCTGCGGGATCGGCCGAGGGGCCTGGAGAGACCGAGCCGCCCCCGGGTGCACACCCCCAACGGCTACCAGGGCCCCCGGAAGAAACCTTTCCCAGGGGGCGCCTGGAGGTGGGGAGACCCCTGCGGAGAGAGCTGGGACAGAGGAAGTTGAGGAGGGGAGGCAGGGGAGGGTGGCTGCCTATGGGGATGCCGACACCTCCCCACCTGGCTTTTCAGGGTGGTGGGACACCTGTGGGCGGCGGCTGGGAGAACCCAGCCCTCCTGTCCGGCCAGCCCCTCACTGCCCAGATCCATGGTCCCAGTCGGGCGACCGCAGCCACACCCTCGGGCCTGGCCTCTCCCTGGAGACGACCTGTCCTCAGCCCCTGGCTGGCCGCTTCCAGGCCAATGTCCTGGACCCCATCAAGGTCTGCCCTTTGCCAGCACTCCTGGGCACTGAGCTCCCTGCACCAGCCAAGGGGGTGCCCTGCCCCACTGATCAGGATAGCCAATGGCAGCGGTGTAGGCTCCTGCCCTGCACCCCACACCCTTGGGGCACAGCCTCTCCTCCCGCTGTGGGCATTCCCTGCTTTTGGAGGTCCCTGGGGCCGCTAGGCACTTCTCTGCTGAGCGGAAGGCTCCTCAGAGGGGCAGGCGGAATTCTGGAGGCTGGCATAGTGAGGACCGGGGCAACAGCGAAACATGTCAGACCCCCGTCCGAACTGACGTGAGAGGGGAAGGGGCTTACCAGCATTCCTATCTTCCCTATACCCACTGTACGCCTGGCAAGGTGACTGCCCCCCTCCCCCATTTAGCTGCCCAGGAAAGGCCCTGCCAGGGCACTCAGCTCTGTGGTGTCTGGGGAGCCCCTGGCAGGTGTCTGCTCCCCAACACCTCCACACCTTCCCTGCAGGCAGGCCCTCCAGGCCCTCCACGTGTCCTACTTAACCCCGTAACAGCCTGACAAAGTGATCGGGCAGAGCAGGTGAGGAGATCATGGCCCAGCTCCGACACCTACCCTGGGAGCTGGATCTGCGACACCAGGGTGCCTCCCAGGCCGGCAAGAACAGGACGAAGCCCTTGCCTGGCGGGATGAGGCCTGGCAGCTGGGGCTGGCGGAGCCGAGTTGGGTCTGGGGTCTGGCAGAACAGCCTGGGTTGGCCCAGGCCTGTGGAGGGGCTCAGAAGTGAAGGCGCCCAGCCCACCCAAGGAGGTCCCAGGTTTGGGGGCACTCTCCTGAGGAGGTAGGACCCCTGGCCAGGGGACCCCTGTGGAACTCGACTGGAGGGCCCTGGGGTTTCACCAAAGGTGCAGCCTTCCTTGTGGCCATCCCAGAAGTTGGGGTTCTAAGAACAGGGAGCACATGATTCACCATCCATCCTGGCTGGGGAGGTGGTGGGGTCACCCTGCCTCATGCCCTTCCATGGAGCCACAGGACCCCAAATGCTCTTAGGGTGGGGGTACACACCCACTTCCATGGTGACTCTCTGTGACCTTCAATTCCCACCAGGTCTGGAGATGGTGTGCACTCGCCCACCCGCTCAGCAGCACAGGGNAACAAAAGGGTTGGGGAGCCCGGCTCAGCCTGCCTCCGCTGTTCCAGTCAAATCCCACATCCACGCGCAGGAGCACCCGGCAGCCCCGCTGGAGGGGCCGCACCCCGCCGGCGCGACAGGCGTTGGAGGGCAGGTGCAGGCCGTCCTCTGCGCGCATCTCCAGACACGCCGTGCTCGGCACCTGGGTCTCTGCGTGCCCTCCCAGCTCCCGTTGCAGGTGGGTGTTCAGGGCTGAGGGCAGAGAGCCCCCAGAGCAGCCTCGGAGGAGACAAGAGGTGCCAACCAGGGAAAGGGGCGGGCAGGGCTGGGTCCACGGACGCAGAGGGGCATGAGCTACAGGGGTGTGCGAGGGCTCTCTGTGCCACACTCGGGGTGCATCTGAGAATCTCCCCTAAACCTATCTTGTTTTCCTTAGTTGAGAAGAGAACAGGGCCCTGGCATTCCTAAGAAGCCAGCCTTCCCCAGGCGTGAGCCCAGAAGGACGGAGCAGGACACAGAGAGACAGGTGGACGGTGAGTGTGAGGGTCAGGTGGAGGGGGGCAGCCAGGGGCAGGCAGACGCCAAGATCCAGCGGCCCACGCCTCGGGCCTGAGGGGATCCAGGCTCATCTGGAGGCGGGGGCTTCCCACCTCTGCCCCAGGCACCAGCTGCTTGCTGCACCCCCCACACAGCCTGCAGACCACCTTCCCCCCACCATGGCTGTGCTCCTGAGTTTGGGCCTGGACAAGCGCCTGCCCACGGAGGGAGGTCGCACCGAGGTGTGGTGTGGTGGAGAGGCCGGCCCTTGTGGGGGCCTGGCCCTGGCGCAGCGGATGGGTCGTGAAGGGTGGGGGCGGTAGAGGCATCCCAGGCTTTGAGGTGGGCGGTGGGGAGGGTCAACCCGCCAGCAGCCAGGAGAGCGGGTGGGCTGGTCTCTCGGGCACCCAGCACGCACCACGTCGGCCTGGGTGAGGGGTCGGGCGCCCTTCCCCGTGGCGGAGGCGATGGAAGCACGGGGAGGGTGAACTATGGCTTATACCGGCGTGGGGGGGCTGCACTCTGCTCCCTGCATCCCTTCGGTGGCCTCCGGGAGGGCGTGTACACGGGGCAGGAAAGGGGCGGCGGGACAGGGGCGGCGGGCTGGGCGCTGGGCGGCGCCCGGGGCGTCACTTCTTGAACATGTCCTGCAGCGGCCCCGGCAGGTACTTGAGGACCGTGTCCAGAATGCTCCCGTCCTCCTCCTCCGGCTCGTCCCCGCAGCCCGGAGGGATGGCCTTCTTGGGTCGCGTCAGGCTGCCCTCCGAGTCGGCCTCCATGGCGGCCTGGGCCTCAGCCTCGCGCTCCTCTCTCTTCTTGATGCCGTACTGCGGGGGGTGGTGGGGGTCAGCGCACCGGGGCCCCCCGCGCTCCGCCGGGCCGGGTGGGGTCCGGCCCTCCCTGCACCTGCGGGATCGGCCGAGGGGCCTGGAGAGACCGAGCCGCCCCCGGGTGCACACCCCCAACGGCTACCAGGACCCCCGGAAGAAACCTTTCCCAGGGGGCGCCTGGAGGTGGGGAGACCCCTGCGGAGAGAGCTGGGACAGAGGAAGTTGAGGAGGGGAGGCAGGGGAGGGTGGCTGCCTATGGGGATGCCGACACCCCCCCACCTGGCTTTTCAGGGTGGTGGGACACCTGTGGGCGGCGGCTGGGAGAACCCAGCCCTCTTGTCCGGCCAGCCCCTCACTGCCCAGATCCATGGTCCCAGTCGGGCGACCGCAGCCACACCCTCGGGCCTGGCCTCTCCCTGGAGGCGACCTGTCCTCAGCCCCTGGCTGGCCGCTTCCAGGCCAATGTCCTGGTCCCCATCTAGGTCTGCTCTTTGCCAGCACTCCTGGGCACTGAGCTCCCTGCACCAGCCAAGGGGGTGCCCTGCCCCACTGATCAGGATAGCCAATGGCAGCGGTGTAGGCTCCTGCCCTGCACCCCACACCCTTGGGGCACAGCCTCTCCTCCCGCTGTGGGCATTCCCTGCTTTTGGAGGTCCCTGGGGCCGCTAGGCACTTCTCTGCTGAGCGGAAGGCTCCTCAGAGGGGCAGGCGGAATTCTGGAGGCTGGCATAGTGAGGACCGGGGCAACAGCGAAACATGTCAGACCCCCGTCCGAACTGACGTGAGAGGGGAAGGGGCTTACCAGCATTCCTATCTTCCCTATACCCACTGTACGCCTGGCAAGGTGACTGCCCCCCTCCCCCATTTAGCTGCCCAGGAAAGGCCCTGCCAGGGCACTCAGCTCTGTGGTGTCTGGGGAGCCCCTGGCAGGTGTCTGCTCCCCAACACCTCCACACCTTCCCTGCAGGCAGGCCCTCCAGGCCCTCCACGTGTCCTACTTAACCCCGTAACAGCCTGACAAAGTGATCGGGCAGAGCAGGTGAGGAGATCATGGCCCAGCTCCGACACCTACCCTGGGAGCTGGATCTGCGACACCAGGGTGCCTCCCAGGCCGGCAAGAACAGGACGAAGCCCTTGCCTGGCGGGATGAGGCCTGGCAGCTGGGGCTGGTGGAGCCGAGTTGGGTCTGGGGTCTGGCAGAACAGCCTGGGTTGGCCCAGGCCTGTGGAGGGGCTCAGAAGTGAAGGCGCCCAGCCCACCCAAGGAGGTCCCAGGTTTGGGGGCACTCTCCTGAGGAGGTAGGACCCCTGGCCAGGGGACCCCTGTGGAACTCGACTGGAGGGCCCTGGGGTTTCACCAAAGGTGCAGCCTTCCTTGTGGCCATCCCAGAAGTTGGGGTTCTAAGAACAGGGAGCACATGATTCACCATCCATCCTGGCTGGGGAGGTGGTGGGGTCACCCTGCCTCATGCCCTTCCATGGAGCCACAGGACCCCAAATGCTCTTAGGGTGGGGGTACACACCCACTTCCATGGTGACTCTCTGTGACCTTCAATTCCCACCAGGTCTGGAGATGGTGTGCACTCGCCCACCCGCTCAGCAGCACAGGGCGGCTCCCCTCAGTGGGAACAGGCCACCTGCCCCCCCCCCAGGAGGGTGAGAAGGGGGCAGGAGCAGCACACAGGTGAACAGCAGAGGGCACAGGTCAAGGCAGGCCAGGAACGGGCACAGTGTGTAGTGGGCAGAGGGAGGGGGGGCCGCAGCCTGCCAAGACAGTATGCGCCCTCCAGGGGCCCAGCCACTGCGGGGCCTGGGGCAGAGGTCACCACGGGCCTGGGCTGGGACCCTCCGTGAGATGGGGCCCCTGGAGGGTTTGAAGAGGGAAGGCCAGAGCGGCTTCCATTTAAAGGGGAAACGAGTGAAGTGTGTTTTGCCCCCACACCCGCTAAGCACTGGCTCAGGAGGGGCTCGCTCAGCACCCTGCCTCCCGGTGGGGTTGGGGAGGCCACCCCCACAGCACACACACCCTGCACGCCCCAGGGGGCTCTGAGACATGCCCAAGCCACGGCCTGCCTGAGTCTGAAGGGCTGGGACAAATAAGCTCAGCGGCAGGATCCTCCGCGGGTTGTCCAGCCAGGAGGACGGGCAAGCTCCCCAGCGCGGCTGCCCAGCCCTCGCCCTCACCCCCTCCCCTCCCCATCTGCCTGCCCCTGCCCCTCCCTCTGCCCCAAGCACTCCGCACACCCGGGACCTGCTGTGGCCCCTGGGCAGCCCAGCCCCTTCCCGCTGGGCAGGACCCCTCTTCAGAGCCCTTAGCGAGGGAGTCCCAGGGGAGGCAGGTCTGGGGGCTTTCTCCTGTGGAAACCACCATCCCATCTAAGGAGACTGGGAGACCTCACCCCAAGACGGGACCCAGCCCCTCTGACAGGAGCAGGAAGGACTTGGGACCCCGCAGAGTGTGAGCTGCCCGCAGGGTGGGCACCTGGGGGCGAGGTGACCTCCCCTGCCTTGCTCCCCTCCCACCGAGCCGCCTCCAGGCAGGGGATCCAAGGGTCTGCTCTGTGGGGCCCAGGAGAGGAGGGGCGGCCGGGCCCCCGGGGCCCTCCCCCTCCGCAGCCTCCCTCGGCCCGGCCCCGGGCAGCCCCGGCGGGCACCAGGGCCGCGCGGGCACCAGGGCCGCCCACCCACCTTGTCTCGGATGCCCTGCCGCATGGCCTCGCGCTCCGCCTCCATCCTGGCGTACTTGGCCTGGCGCTCCTCCTCCTCCTGCCGCAGGGCCTCCTGGCGCTCCTCCTCCTTCTTGGCCGCATCGGGGTCCTTCTCCTCATCGCCCCCGAGCATCTTCCCCATGTCCTTCGTGGCCCCTGCGGACGGAGGGCAGGTGGGGCAGGCCGGCCAAGGTGCTCGTGCTGCGACCGTGTAGCTGTGCCTGTGTGTCTGCATCTGTGTATTCGTGTGTGCACGCACGTGTGCGAGCCCCTGGGGACTGGTGTGCGTCCTCGGCCTCCGCACTGTGGCCAAGCGGCTGAATCCAAGGCTGTGAGGGCTGCGGAGTGGGCACAGGCCAAGTGTCTGCTGGGGCTCTCGTGTGGCTGCTGGGCAATGGGCACTGGCCGGGGGCTGCTGGCGGCTGCGTGTAGGGGCACTGAGGCCCTAATTTGCCACCGAGCCAGTCACCACTTTTCTTATGAGCTCCTAATTCATAGGCAATAACAAACACCTCCCTGACGCCCTTTGTGGCTCGGCCCACAGGACAGAGACGTGCAATTACAGTGGCAGGCAGGGCGGCGAGCCCCGGCCCTTCAGTGGCTCCAGGGGGCAGAGCATCCCACATGCCTGGCATCCCGGGCCAGGCTGGGGCAGAGTGGTTGGCAGGCAGGCCATCCAATATCGGCCCCACGTGCGTTCACACTGCCCGCAGGAGCCGGCCAGCAGGCACCATCACCCCCTACCCCCTTGGAGCAAGCCACCTGCGGGGCCTCTGCTCTCCCATCCCTTGACGACCCTTCATAAGCGCTGTCCAGGGCTGTCATGCCTCTGGAATAAACTGGGAGGCGGAACTGCGTAGACTCCCCCAGGTAAGCCTCTGGGTGGACGCTGACACGGTCGACCCACTGCCCGGCTCCACCCATTGGAAAGCGCCTGCCACCCTGCCCTCTACTGCCCCCTCTCTCTGAATCCGGGGCTCCCTTGCTGATTCTCCGTTCCGTGTCCTTGAGCTCTTGGTACTATTGTACTGCTTTGACACTGTGCAGGTCTGAACCTGGAGAGATGCCCTTTCTTGCAGGTATCTGTGCCAGATGCTGCCCTTGCCCGTTACTAGGAGTGACCCCTGCCCCAGCCCCTCGTGTGGCCACAGGGAATCATTTAGAAGGCCACAGACTTTTGATGGGAAGGGAAAGACTTTTTGACTGAGTGCTCTGGGATGGAGAATAGATGCCAGTCCGGCTGGGCCATGCCTACACCACATGGGTCCTCCTAGCTGCAGGAAGCTTCTACAGGGTCATGGGGTATGGTGAGTACAAGACCGACTTGCCACCACTGCCACTGTGGGGACAGGAAGCCCACCTCTACCAGGTACTGGGCCAATAGCACAGATTCAATTCTAACAGAACTGAAAGTCTTGAAGTCAGTTTTCAGCCATATCTTCGACATTTTGCAAAGCAGATTTCAGGCCAATGACTCAGGGAAAACTGGATCTCAGAGTATAATCGGGTTCGCACTCTCCCAACGGTTCCCCAGACATATAGGGGAATTTCTCTGCCTCCTGTGCTGCTGTCACTCTGGCAGGTGTGTCTGGGAGGCAGGAACAGACCCCCAATCTGGGGAGCAGCTCTGCCAACCACCCTGACCTACTGGCTGCCCACAGCATCAGCGGATGCCCCACTTGAACAAGCTGTTCACACTAAAGAGAGGGTGACAACAGTCCTTTTCCCTCCTGGAAGACATTTCAATGCAGAGGTAAGCGACCTGCCTCAGCCCCATCTCTCTCCTGAGAGGGGGAGGTGTGTGGTGGCTGGGGTGGGGCTGGAGGGGCCACCTGGCTCAGTGATGGGTCCCTAAACCTGCTCCTCCAACACGTCACATGGGTCATAGGTCTAGTGACCAAAACAGGCATTTATTGAGCACCAACTGTGTGCTGATCTCTGCTAACCAGGGGTGGACCTGGGGTTTTGCCCAGGGCCCCTCTGAGTCTGAGGACTGCAGCTCCCCCCGGGGTCCCTAGCATTCTTGTCTTGCCCCCACTTAAGCTCTGGGCTGGTCCACTTGCCTAAGGGCCAGGGAAGGCCAAGGGAGGAGCTAGCCGAGCAGATGGAGGGGTGGCTCTGAGAGGCGAGATGACCTCTGCCAGGCCAGGGGTGAGAAGACCGGAGTCCACTGCACCGTGGTATGGATTCCTGCTCAGGGGCAGCCTGCAAAGCCACTCGTGGTCCAAATGGGACCTCTCTTTGGGTGTCCAGAGCGCAACCTTGGGGAAGCCACCAGCCACGCCAGATCCTCCAAGTGTCCTCTAGTGCCCACCAAGCCCCACCTGGCTTGGAATGAGAAGGGCAGCAGGCACCACAGCAGAAACTGTGGGAAGCTTGTTCTTGGCACTGAAACCCAATATGCCATTTGCTTTCCTGGCAGGACCTACACACTGGGCTGTGTGTCTCAGGGGGTTAGGGGGAAGCACAGTTGCAAGTGGGGTAGGTGCTTCCCACCCCCTCCCCTACACTGATAAGCCCAGCAGGCACAACCCCAGCTCAGAGGAGGTGGGGGCACATTTCCACCCAGGAGCACGTCCCATACTTGGGAGGGGGGGCACGGGGGTATGCAGAAATTCAACAGCAGCTAAAAAGAGTCGCTCACCAGCATTCCCAGAGGGCCTGCAATGAGAAGGTGCAAGCAAAGGGGGTGTGTGCCTACCTGCACCCCTCCCTCACTGCCGCTGCTGATATCACACCCACCCCACAACATGCAGGAGAGGGGGCGCTGGGTTTTCTCTGCAGGCCTGGGGTGGAGTCAGGGGTTCCGGTGCTCCTACCTCTGGGCCTCTGGCCTTGCTGTTCTTCCTGGAGCTTGCTTCCCGGAACTTCTTTCCACTTAGCTCTCAACCCAGTGTCTTCCCGTAGCTATGGGCTAAGATTTGTCTATTGTATGTACCTCAATAAAAATTTTTTTTAAAAACTCCAAAAATCTATAGACTTGTTGAGAAAAATTAGAGAAGACCTAAATGAATAGACAAGTACACTATGTTCATGGATGCGATGCGGCTATAACACCAGTTTTTCCTGGATCCCTATAGATTCATTGCAATCTCAAGCAAAATGCAAGCAGGCCTTTATCAGCTGATTCTAAAATTTATAGGGAAATGGCAAGCTAGAATAGATAAAACAATTTTTCAAAAGGAGAATAACTTCACACTACTCAATTTTAAGACCACAGTCAAGACTAAAGAATAGACATATGGATCAATGGGACAGAATACAGAGTTCAGAAACAGACCTACCCATATACGATCAATTGATTTTTTTTGACAAAGCTGCAAAAATAATTCAGTGAGGCAAGGATAATCTTTTCACAGTAGCACTGAAACAATTAGATATCCTTATGCAAATAAATAAATATATAAATAAATTTCTTCCCTAACCTCACACCTTATACAAAGCTCAATTATAGACCTAATTGTAAAAGCTCATATCACAAAATTTCTAGAAGAAAGCATAAGAGAAAATTATCTGTGACCTTGACTTAGCCAAAAGTTTCTTATATAGGTGACAAAAAGCATGACCCTTAAAAGAAAAAAATGATAAACTGGACTTCATCAACATTAAAAACATTTGTTCTTCAAAAGACACTGCTAAAAAAAAAAATGAAAGGCCACAGTGAGAGAATATATTTGCAAATAATATGCCTGTTAAAAATATATATCAGAACACATAAAGAACTCTTAAAACTCAACAAGAACACAAACCATCTGATTTTTAAAACAGACAAAAAATTTGGACAGACATTTCCCCAAAGAGATACAGATGGCAACAAAGTACATAAAAAGATGTACTTGGTTATTACAAATAAAGCTCATCACTGTGGTCAGTCATAAGGGACCCAAACTCGCATCACAAAGAGAGAGCAGGACATGGCTCCTCGGACGTCTACCACGAAAAAGACTGCCACACCCAGTGTGGCGGGGACAGGGTAAAACCAGGACATGCATGCCCAGTGGGTGCAGTACAATTGGTGCAGCCACTTCAGAGAAAAGTTTGGCAGTTTCTTATAAAATTAACATGCACCCACCATTTGACCCAGCAATTTCATTGCCAGGTATTTACCCAAGAGAAATGAAAACAGGAGTTCACACATGGGGCAGGAATGTACATGGCGACTTTATTTGTACAGCCAAAAACTAGAACCACCTCAAATGTCCATCAGCAGATGAATGGACAGGTAAAAGGTGTTCTGTCCACACAATGGAAAACTACCCACCAGTTAGAAGGAATAAACTTCTGGGGCCCTTGACAAGGAAGAAATTCAAAATCTTTATGCTGAGAGAAAAAAGACACAAATGATGTGATTTCACTTATGTAAACACAAGTGCAGTGGACGGGTCTATAGTGATAGAGGCAAATCAGGGATTCCCCAGGCCCAGGGCAGAGGCGACATGCACGGCAAAGGGGCCTGGACTCACTGTAGTGGCATCAAATCTCATGGAAAAAAGATGTGCACTCGGAAAGGACTTGTGCACAAATCGCTCCCTATTGAAGTCAATCTAAAATTCTGCCAATGCAAAAACTAGAGGTATTACAGGCCATCTACCCTGATCATAATCTAATCAAATTACAAGCAAATACTAAAAACATGCCCAAACCCTTAACTACAGAAGTTTCAGTTTCAGAAACATGCA